AAAAAGACACAACTACAGCTACAACAGCAGCAACAACAACAACAACTCCCGTTCCAGCTGTTTTGTCTTCGATGGTTTCTACACTACAACTACAACTACAACTACAATTACAACTACATTACACTACCGTAATTCCACTACACTACTCTACGCTGCACTACACTACAGCTACAACTACAGCTACAACTACACTACACCAGACTAGACTACACTACACTAGACTACACTACAGAGCACAACACTGCAGCACACTCCACTACACTACATTACATTACACTACAATCATTCCACCACACCAACAACTGCCGCTACAACTACGCTACACTAATTACAGTACACTACAACTACAAACTCCACGACACTTTGACAACAACTACAGCTGCACTACACACCACATCCAGCAGTTGTGGGTGAGGTGACCACTGCAATCATTGCAGCCACTCCAAAAAACAACTCCAATTACCTGTCGGTCCATCAGTGGATTCGCTTTGCCACCCATGCATCACAACAACTCATCTCTCCTATAGCGTCCTATCTTTGAAACTTCCGCCGCCGCCTTGTGCGGTACTACTGGCACACGTCATTTTGCATACAGAATCTACAGCTTCTGTTGACAAATTCATCCTATGCCTGAAGTATGTTTAATATGTTGTATGTCATTGTTATATCATCGGGCGAGTCAAAGCGAAGGCTGGCAAAGGTCGAACTCTTCGCAGCTTAAACCGGATCCGGCCCGACTGCTGTATCAAAGTGCACGGCAGTGATGGGTCAAAACCCATGTAACAACGAATATGCATGAGTTAAGTCTATCGAGCCTATCGAGTCTATCTATCCACCCACAGATCCATCTATCCATCTATACATCCACCCATAGATCCATCTATCCACCTATTTATCCACCCATAGATCCATCTATCCACCAAAAGGGCCCACTAACATAAAATATTATATATTGTTTTTTTTGGATATATATTTTAGTTATATAAACATAAAACAAATTATTTTAACTAGACGACGGATGGCCCGAGAGCGTAGAGGAGCAGAGTCTTCTGTTGTTAGTATGGAGACACTATATTAGAGATGTATTATAGGCAGACGAGAAGAGTAGTATCAAGACAATATATGACTAGTACAAGACAATAGTTTGCATCGTATTTTTGTAAAGTTTTTCATACACAGAACTTTTTACAGACAGACGCTTTTGCACACAGAGACTTTTACACACAGAGACTTTTACACACAGAGACTTTTACACACAGACGCTTTTACACACAGACGATTTTGCACATAAGCACTTTTACACACAAACACTTTTACACACAGAGACTTTTACACACACACAGACGCTTTTACACACAGAAGCTTTTACACACAGAAGCTTTTACACACAGACGCTTTTACACACAGACGCTTTTACACACAGACGCTTTTACACACAAACGCTTTTTACTCATAGGCTCTTTTACACACAGACGCTTTTACACACAGACGCTTTTACACACAGAGCCTTTTACACACAGACGCTTTTACACACAGACGCTTTTACACACAGACGCTTTTACACACAAACGCTTTTACACACAGACGCTTTTTACACACAGGCTCTTTCACACACAGAGACTTTTACACACAGAGGCTTTTACCCGCAGAGACTTTTACACACAGACGCTTTTACACACAGACGCTTTTACACACAGAAGCTTTGACACACAGAAGCTTTTACACACAGACGCTTTTACACACAGACGCTTTTACACACAGACGCTTTTACACACAAACGCTTTTTACACATAGGCTCTTTTACACACAGACGCTTTTACACACAGACGCTTTTACACACAGAGCCTTTTACACACAGACGCTTTTACACACAGACGCTTTTACACACAGACGCTTTTACACACAGACGCTTTTACACACAGACGCTTTTACACACAGACGCTTTTACACACAAGTAAAATCGCAATTTTTCCTCAGTTTTTGACGATCGACCCTCATTTCGTGCGAAAGGGTTGTTTTAGCACAAGTAAAATCGCAATTTTTCCTCAGTTTTTGACGATCGACCCTCATTTCGTGCGAAAGGGTTGCTCGGGGACAAGTAAAATCGCAATTTTTCCTCAGTTTTTGACGATCGACCCTCATTTCGTGCGAAAGGGTTGCTCGGGGACAAGTAAAATCGCAATTTTTTCCTCAGTTTTTGACGATCGACCCTCATTTCGTGCGAAAGGGTTGCTCGGGGACAAGTAAAATCGCAATTTTTCCTCAGTTTTTGACGATCGACCCTCATTTCGTGCGAAAGGGTTGACGTTTCGTGACTCACCGCCGGTACCACCCTCGGCCTAAAGAGAGAAAGATAAAGAAGGCGAGAGAGAGAAAAAGGAGAGAGAAAGGAGAGAGAGAAAGGAGAGAGAATGAGAGAGAGAGAAGATGTGAAGATGAGAAGGTGTGAGAGAAGGTGTGAAGATGAGAAGGGTGTGAGAGAAGATGTGAAGATGAGAAGGTGTGAGAGAAGATGTGAAGATGAGAAGGTGTGAGAGAAGATGTGAAGATGAGAAGGTGTGAAGATGAGAAGGTGTGAGAGAAGATGTGAAGATGAGAAGGTGTGAGAGAAGATGTGAAGATGAAGATGAGAAGGTGTGAGAGAAGATGTGAAGATGAGAGGGTGTGAGAGAAGATGTGAAGATGAGAAGGTGTGAGAGAAGATGTGAAGATGAGAAGGTGGGAGAGAAGATGTGAAGATGAGAAGGTGGGAGAGAAGATGTGAAGATGAGAAGGTGTGAGAGAAGATGTGAAGATGAGAAGGTGGGAGAGAAGATGTGAAGATGAGAAGGTGTGAGAGAAGATGTGAAGATGAGAAGGTGTGAGAGAAGATGTGAAGATGAGAAGGTGTGAAGATGAGATACAGACCCCCACTATTGGAAGAACCCTGCGCTCAGACGCTCTCGGGAAATAAGTAATTTCATATTTTATTTTTGTATATGTCAAGCTCAACAGGATGCAAATTCCTAGAAAAACGGCAGCGAAAATCATTGAATTTAGTTTTAGTTTTCATTTTTATAGCACACAATTTGTTTGAAAAAAGTTCCCATGCATATGAAAACTTGCCGGTTCAGTTTACATCAAAAACAACAACAAATATCTAAAAATTTGTTCAAAATATATATATATAATAGCTTCTATTTCATGGATAAATATTTTTTTGATAATATATATATATATATACATACATATATCTAAACTTTATTAAAAAATAGTTTTTGATTTTTTAAAGAATATGATTCTTATTTTATGGGAACATAATTTTCATAGATAAAATATCTTTGTATGAAGAACAGAAAATTATATATCTAGAAATATTGATTAGTGGATCTTTATGGCATCTAAAAATCCACCCATAGATCCATCTATCCGTCTAAATACCCACCCATAGATCCATCTATCCGTCTACCCATCCACCCATAGATCCATCTATCCATCTAGTAATCCACCCGTAGATCCATCTATCCATCTGAAAATCCACCCATAGATCCATCTATCCATCTATTTCTCCACCCATAGATCCATCTATCCCGCTTTCTATCCACCTATAGATCCATCTATCCATCTATTTATCCACCCATAGATCCACCTATCCATCTATTTATTCACCCATAGATCCATCTATCCGTCTATTTGTCCGCCCATACACCCATCTATCCGCGTATCTGTCCACCCATAGATCCATCTATCCGTCTAGTTATCCACCCATAGATCCATCTATCCGTCTATCTATCCACCCATAGATCCATCTATCCGTCTATCTATCCACCGATAGACGCATCTATTCACGTATTTCTCCACCCATAGATCCATCTATCCGGCTTTCTATGCACCTATAGTTCATCTATTGATCTGTTTATCCACCCATAGATCCACCTATCCATTTATTTATCCACCCATAGATCATTGTATCCGCCTATCTATCCACCCATAGATCCATCTATCCATCTATCCATCCACCCATTGATCCATCTATCCACCTATTTATCTACCTATAGATCCATCTATCCATCTATTTACTCACCCATAGATCCATCTATCCGTCTATTTGTCCGCCCATTCACCCATTTATCCGTCTATCTATCCACCCATAGATCCATCTATCCGTCTAGTTATCCACCCATAGCCGTCTATCTGTCCACCCATAGATCCATCTATCCACCTATTTGTCCACCCATAGATCCATCTATGCGCCTATCTATCCACCCATAGATCCATCTATCCATCTATTTGTCCACCCATAGATTCGTCTATCCATCCATCTCTTGATTTATCTTTTTATCTTTTTAATCTTTTCATCTTTTTAATCTTTTAATCTTTTCATCTTTTAATCTTTGAATCTTTTAATCTTTTTATCTATCTATCTATCTATCTATCTACCTACCTACCTATCTATCTCTTCTGTCTGTCTGTCTGTCTGTCTGTCTATCTTGTCTATCTTATCTATCTTATCTATCTTATAATTCTAATTTATCTTGTCTATCTTTTCTATCTTGTCTATCCTGTCTATCTTGTCTATCTTGTCCATCGTATCAATCTTATCCATCTTACCTATCTTATGTATCTTATCTATCTTATCCTATCTATCTTATCTAGCTTTTCTATCTTATCTATCTTATTTATCTTGTCTATCTTATCTATCATATGTATCTTATGCATCTTATGTATCTTATTTATCTTATATATCTGTCTGTCTTATCTATTTTATCTGTCTTATCTTGTCTTGTCTTTTCTTATCTTATCCTTTCTATCCATCTATCTATTTATTTATTTATCTATCTATCTATCTTTCTTTCTTATGTCTATCGACGAAACTGGTGGATGATGTTCGTACAGCTCCGCGCAGGGTCACTTGCTTTTGACCCATATCCATATCAACATCTCAACATCAAACAAAGCAACATGAACCATTCATGTGAATCCCGGCGTTTGATACTGCGTCGCGGGCCAAAACCCAAAACCTAAAACACAACTTCTCCAGGTTCAAGTGGTCGTGCAACGCCATCTCTGTTTTCAGCCCTGTCATCCAGGTAGCCTCGAATCAAGCCTGGTCGCTTTGGAAGCTCCCGAGTGAAGAAGACCCAAAACTGCCATCCAGGACTGAGGGGCTAGAATTGACTAATCCGCCGGCCCCGGCCAAGCAAGGGGGAGCGCGCCATGGAAGAAGAGTTTGTGCCACGAGCAACCTTCTGGCGAGTCCAGCGTTTAGGCGGTTCAGAAGGTGTCAGTTGAAGCACATGTCTGGCACATGTCTGGCTATTATTCTGTAGGATTTCAGAAGACACGTTAGCCAGTTTTTCAATGTGATTTAGTGGCTTGTCTGTCCTTCACTGCCATGGTGTTTCAGGCTGGCGCGTCCAGTGTTTGGGCGGCCCGGAAGGTGTCAGTTCAAGCACATGTCTGGCACATGTCTGGCTACTATTGCATAGGATTTCAGAAGACACGTTAAGCATTTTTTCGCTGTGATTTGGTGGGTTGTCTGCTCTTCACTGCCATGGTGTTTCAGGCTGGCGAGTCCAGCATTTGCGCGGCCTGGAAGGTGTAAGTTGAAGCACATGGCTGGCTAGTTTTCTGGAATTCTAGAAGACATGTTAGATTTTTTCCCCACATCTTTGTGTGGGGTTCTTGTTCTTGGTTCTGTATCCCGCTGTCCGTCCGCCTCCCGCCTCCTCCTCCCCCGTCCTCCCGTCGTCTCACTCACAACTCACTCACACAACTTTGCTCACACACAACTTGTCATCACACAGATTGCTCACACACAACTTGTCCACACACAACTTGCTCACACATCTTGTCATCACACAACTTGCTCACACACAACTTGTCATCACACAACTTGCTCACACACAACTTGTCCACACACAACTTGTCATCACACAACTTGCTCACACACAACTTGTCCACACACAACTTGCTCACATACACCTTGTCCTCACACATCTTGTCCTCACACAACTTAGTCATCACACAACTTGCTCACACAACTTGCTCACACACAACTTGTCCTCACACAACTTGCTCACACACAACTTGTCCACACACAACTTGCTCACATACACCTTGTCCTCACGCATCTTGTCCTCACACAGCCTCACACACAACTTGTCCACACACAACTTGTCATCACACAACTTGCTCACACACAACTTACTCACACACAACTTACTCACACACAACTTGCTCACACACACACAATTTGTCATCACACAACTTGCTCACACACAACTTGTCCGTCCACACACAACTTGCTCACACTCAACTTGCTCAAACACAACTTACTCACACACAACTTGCTCACACACACAATTTGCCCACACACAACTTGTCATCACACAACTTGCTCACACACAACTTGTCCACACACACAACTTGTCATCACACAACTTGCTCACACACAACTTGTCCACACACAACTTGCAACTTGTCCTCACACAACTTGTCATCACACAACTTGCTCACACACAACTTGGTCACACACAACTTGTCATCACACAACTTGTTACACACAACTGACTCACACACACACACAACTTGCTCACACACACAACTTATCCTCACACAATTTGCTCCTTGCTCACACACAACTTGCTCACACACAACTTGCTCACACACAACTTACTCACACACAACTTGCTCACACACAATTTGCCCACACACAACTTGTCATCCCACAACTTGTCATCCACCTTCACTTTGCGTGGCAGGCGTGGCAGGCATGGCACTTGGCGATATCCACCGTCACTTTGCCTGGCAGGCATGGCACTTGGTGACATCCACCGTCACTTTGCGTGGCAGGCGTGGCACTTATGGCACTGGGCTGGCTCTGGTGGCGCGCTTGGTTTTAGGTGTGACGCCGTGGCGCCGCGGCGTTTTGCGTGGCAGGCGTGGCACTTGGCGACATCCACCTTCACTTTGTGTGGCAGGCCTGGCGCACACACACAACTTGTCCACACACAACTTGCTCACACACAACTGACTCACACACACACACAACTTGCTCACACACAACTTATCCTCACACAATTTGCTCCTCGCTCACACACAACTTGCTCACACACACACAACTTACTCACACTCAACTTGCTCACACACAACTTTCCCACACACAACTTGTCATCACACAACTTGCTCACACACAACTTGTCCACACACAACTTGTCATCACACAACTTGCTCACACACAACTTGTCCACACACAACTTGCTCACATACACCTTGTCCTCACACATCTTGTCCTCACACAACTTAGTCATCACACAACTTGCTCACACAACTTGCTCACACACAACTTGTCCTCACACAACTTGTCATCACACAACTTGCTCACACCGTGTCGACGGGCAAAGCTCCCGGCTCGTTAGGGCCGTACCTTTAGGTATACGGCTGACGGCGCCTACCGCCGACTTTTCGGAAAACCTCGTAATTTACGATGTGTTTTGCTCCTAGACAACATCAACATAA